TGTTTATTAACCAACGTATAGAACAAAGAAAGTTGAGAGTAAACTAAATCAAACTGTGTTTTTTATTGTTGTTTTTAAATCCATTCTTCGATTAACATGTAAGAGTGTGTTTATCACCGTGTGAATTTCTTTCATATATGGTTAATAACCAACGTAGAGTTCAAAGAAAATTGAGTAAACTAAATCGAAATGTTTTTTTGTTGTTTTTTTGTAGTTTTTAAATTTACTATTTGGTCAACATGTAAAAGTATGTTCATCAATAAGTGTGAATTTCTTTCGTACATAGTTTTGGCGTGTCTTGTTTGAATGATAAATTGTGTAATATTATTTTTTTATTCAGGCTTAAGGTTTCAAAGACTCTACTAAGATTGCCTTTTTATTTCCATTAACCAGTAAACTGCTTCTTGTTATAAAGATCATATTGCAGAAAATAATGTTGGAAAAAATAATGTAAATAAACAGGTGCTGGTGATATATCAAAATGTCGTAATGTTCGAAGGAACGTCAGACAGTGTGTGTTACATCTTAAGGACCCTTTGTATTGTTGAAGAGTGGCATATTATTCAGTATTTCAAAATTTTGGAGTAGTATTGAAATTGAATAGAATTATGGCTAAGCTGTTAAAAACTATAAAATTGTATAATGGGATATTTAAAGTTAATAAAATATTTCTGTTGGCTAGGATAAGCATTCGACAAGTAATAGTTTAGGTTGGAACTATTCTCGATTTCAGAATTCCCCCTGTGGATCAGCGGTAAGTTTACAGATTTACTTATTTAAATTCCGAGGGCCGATTTCTCGCGTTGAACAGTGTGCAGATTTCCTATTGTATAGCTTTCCGAAACATCAACAAACCTAACCATTTTCAGAAGGTTATACAATTTTCTTTCTAATGTATGGGGTTTGTGAGTCCTTTGAAATCATTATATAGTAACTTGAATTAATTTAGGTGTGTAAGTAATGTTATGACATTGAGCCTAATTCATTATTCGATATTATAAAGCGGACCAACAATTTAATAATTACACAGGCCTGCGATCCTTGAAATTTTTACATGTTCTACAATAATCCCTGTACACCGAATCCGAAAATGATATCTATTTTTCTCCATCACGTGCATATTTTTCCCAAAACGTCATAACGCAATACATAAAAGAAAGACTACAACACGTAGTTTTGAGATTAAAAGACGTAGATTTCGCACACACACACACAAATCAGGATGAATGAAGATGCATATTTGTATGATATAAATGTTCTTCCCTTTTACAGTCTATGTTTTTGTTGACAAACATAATAACAAAAAATTTGCATTGTGGTAAACGAAATAATACTTTGATCTCAGTAAGAGTTTTTTTTCTTCCGATTTGTAAAAAGTCCTTACGTAATAGAAAAAATGAATATTAATTTCGAAATCTGCGTAGCTGAATTATGGAAAATCTGTTATTAAAACCAAAACAACTTTTATGAAGTTTAAATTCGCAAGCCTGTGTTATATATGTATATTACATATTTGTTTTGTTTTTTCACCAAAGGCAAAATTTAAAATATAATCTGTGATATAGAGGCCTAATCCATTCCTTGATTAGCCGTACCTTCCCTCTGCTATGGACTGTAGTTTAGCCTATTCGCGACCAAAGTTGTTCTGCTGAGCCATAAATACGCGAAACTGCAGTTCGCAATAGATAGCGCGGCTAGTCAAGGAATGCATTAGGCTTCTACGTCACATATTATGTTTTCAATTTTACCTTTGGTGAAAAAGAAAACAAATTTGTAACACATATATATATATATATATATATACATACAATCATTAAGCAGTTGGTCCAATGTATAATATCGAACAATGAATTAGGCGCAATGTCATAACATTATTTACACACCTAAATTAAATTAGGTTAATGTATAATGCATTCTCCATGCACTAGAATAGGATATGTACACAACAATTCACTCTGTACACAAAATTACCTCCAAGAGAATCGGAAACCCATCGCATTTTGTGAAAATAATAAAAACCTCCATATTTTATTTCACCGTTGTTTTTTCTACAACTTCAATTTTCAATCTGAAAGACCTCATCGCAAACCACAATTGCCAGCAACCTACAATAGTAAGACTCCCTTGCATCTTTCACGTCAGTCCTATACAGCACCCTTGGCCGATAAAGAGGTCCAGACGACCTCCTCTGAAAAACCAGCGAGAAAAAATCAACACATCCAGACCGCGACAAACAGAAATAAAAAGTCATGAGACAAGACCACACAAACACTGCACATAGATATCTACGACGCAGGAACAACCAACGAAAGCCCAACTACACACGATAAACAGACCAAGGCAAGGACTTCCACCAAGAGTAACGCAATTAGATCAATATTCACCCCGAACCAGAGCAACAACCCGAACTACCATGTCCTCTCAGTCCATCTATCGAGTACCTCCCATCCAACTCGTAAACCTCCCTACAGATCGACGCCTTCGCTGATTGATTCTCCTCCGCCACACTAAGGAGATATAAACGAGCCCCGCGCCAATTTCTCTTTCTTCTGTCGTCCCTCCACTAGCGAAGATGAAGACTCGCACCATGTTAGCCAACCAACTTCTTTCAGCCGTCTCTTCCTTTTCATCATTTTTCCTCAACGCCATCCAAGTTTAACCGGGCACTGGTAGGATAAATTATTCGGCACCTGATCAGTGAAAGTAGGTTTTCTCGGGTACTCCTGCTCTCCCCCACACACACAGCAAAGCCTCTAGGCATTGGATTTCCAGATCTCAGTCGCTCTGAAGGACCATAAGTCCGAAAATGGCCGTTGGTTAGAAGTTAAGAAAGAGAAGATTTCACGTATGACCAAAACTTGCAGTTTTCCGTGCATAGCCCTCACTCCCATCACGAGTGGGCCGAAGAGAAACAGTCGTTTCTGAACGCAGCCAGTTATCTCCTAATGTTCCCCCGGGGGGTCTCAAACCGAAACAACTGCCATGAATTTGATTTGACTTGTTTTACTGAGCCAAGCTATACTAATAAGCCTTGAACAAGCAAAACTACGGTCCACGTCAGAAGGGAAGGCCAATTAATTTTACTTTAGGGGAAAAGAAAAGAAATCTGTAACATAAATATATATAATGTTTTACTAATTGTATCCAAAATAATACATAATTTAAATTAAGATTAAAACTTACCGTTGTGTCAAAGTAAAGTAATTTTGATACAAATGATATGTAAAGTAAACTATGAAACTGCCAAACCAAAGGTTTTTGACATGATGACGTTGTTATCTTGAGATACGCCATTCAGTTGATTATCTTAATTATAAAGATATGATCGTTTTAAATAATCTAAATCTGTCGTCAACATGATAAGGTTATATTTGATTGACGTTAATATGTTATTGGTCGCAGGACCATTTAGTTATTTGTATAAGGTGATTATCGAATTTTCAACTTAAGTAAG